GAACAAGAATCAGGTTAATTAGTTTCGCGGGCTCAAGCACACTTACATACATAAAAGGGTCGATCGCCTGTTTTAAATAAAACCGTTTTCTTCAAATTTGTTACAATATCTTATTTTACTTACTTATGTAATATTTTTTGCTAAATTTAAGTCTCTAAAAGGACCATATTTTTACCCTTATGTGATGTGTCTGACTGATTGTTGGATGACATACGCTACAAAGGACCAATTTTTGTAAATTTCAATTTTATTAACTTTTAATAACTAAGAAGTTGGTCCTTCCTAAGTCTTTTCTTTCTCACAACAATAACTGACTTATTCTGATTTAACATTTAATCCCATTACTATAATTATGTACACTTTTTCTATATCGGTATGAATACTATAACTACATAACAAAAACCACAATCGTACACAACTGAGATAGTAATTGACATTGACCAAATTGTGTGATAAATTCACACGAAAACCTGTTTGCAAAATGCGTCGGTTGACCTTTGACTACGACAAAGCAATACAGCTAAAATTTGTGCCTAGGTATTAATTGAATAATCAAACTAATCATGATTTCTTTATGGATGAAACTATAGAAAAATTCCAGCCAACCTATTCCAATTTGTTAATTATTTACCTTATTTCTAAACGATAGAGTTCGAAATCTAATAAGGAAAGACAGAAAAGCGAAGGTTCACCTGGTGCCCACTGTACCAATACTTGTATATAAAAAGTTTATTATGTATTCTAAAAGACGAAAGATATAAAACATACTATGAATCTTAAATGCTCTTTAATTAAACTCAAATTACATTTACTAAAAAAACCAAACCAGGAAAATGAGAGATATCTTAGGTCAATATGAGTAAATCTAAATATCCGAATTCTCAAAACTACTACTTAATAATATAATATTATAGTAGGCAGTATCGTCTTTACCATAAGAGCACTCGGGACCCGTGTCCAGGGCCCCCATCCTCAGAGAGCCCTGAAGGACCAACAATTTCTACGACAACGGACATACAACCGGCTTCGCATGGAGCAAATCATTGTGCAATCCACAAACTTTGGTTTCGGGTCTAGGTAGCATGTGTACGTGAAATTGTATGTTTGTAAATGCACCAACGATACAGGAGATGTATAGTGCAATGTTTAAAAAAAACATTTCAATAAAAAGTGCCTCGAATTATTGTTTGTGCAAAGACCCCAGCGTAGTCTAAGACGGCCCTGGTAGTAGGTACATGACTACGGGGAAAAACAAGCAAAAATCTTTAGACACAAAAAAAATATTATTATTCATAATTTGAGCAGCCATGTTTTGTCATCTGATGACGTCACACACAATAATGATGATAGCTCACATTGTTAGAAAAACGTTTGAGCTATTGTGATGTAAAATAACAATATACAAAATGTATTGCAAAAACTGGAAACTGTAGAAAGGTGTAACTATTGCGTGTTATGTAAACGTATGATGAATATAAATATAAACAAATGTCGGTAATTTACGTTTGTAATGTCTGCAATGAGGAACGAACAACAAACATTAGCTCTCTTCGTCTATAGTTTGTTAATTGTTTATAGTTTACACTTCCTTAGGAAGACAACTTAATATAACATCACGCCTTTTATCCCCGAAGTGGTAGGCAGAGGTGCACATTACGGCACTTTATGCCACTGTACAATGTAAACCCCACTTTTCACTATTTATGTTATGAGTCCCATGTAATAGGGGGTGAGCCTATTGCCATATACCGAGCACAATACCAGGCTGCGTGCTACTACTGAGATTTAAAAAAAAAGCCCAATATTACCTACTACTAATAAATATTACTAAAAATATTTTCTAGTGAAAACTATAGCTACAGCGAAATCTGTTCGAAGTAACTAATCTAGCACTTTTATGACAATTTATTACATCACATTAAGATGTGTACCTAGTGTACCTCATCATCAACAGCCTATAAATGCCCACTGCTGAGCAAAGCCTCTTCTCACACGGAAAAGGTTTGAGCATTAATCACCACGCTTGCTCAATGCGGGTTGGCGATTTCAAACTTATAATTAGAAATTATAAGCCAAGGTTTCCTCGCGATGTTTTTCCTTCACCGTTTGTCAGTGGTGTCTATATAATCTTAGAAAGTACATATAACTCGGAAAAAGTCACATTGGTACTTGGCGTTGGTAGGTTTCGAACCCGCACCCTCATGCATGAGAAGCAGGCGTCTTAAACCTCCGAGCCACCACGACAGTCTTAATCTTAATATTAACACAAAACACGTCACAGTTTATAGCCAATATAACTTTAGTCTACATATATTAAAAACTACATAATTCACTAAATCTAGACATCTGAAATAGCTTTGATAATAAGCGATGCGACCATTTAACAAGCAACGAGATTCATTACATAATATTTTATAGATAAGTACAACAATTGACAGTATCGCACGTGGCCGTACATATGTAATAAGTATCGAATGATATAACTTACATCACGGCTTTTATCCCCGAAAAAGTAAGTTAGAGGGACACATTACGGCACCTAATGTAATGTAACACTACTTATGTTATGAGTCCCATGTAATAGAGGGTGAGCCCATTGCCATATACCGGGCAACAATTCCGGACTCTGTGGTACTATTGAGATTTTTTTAAAAACCCTGTAACATTTTGCTCGGCCCTAGAATCAAACTCGAGACCCCCTGCCCGGCCAGTCGCACTTGCGACCACTCAGCCATCAAGGCAATCCGTCAGCAAGTATCAAATGATTGGACTTTAATGTAATAGGACATCTTACATCATAATCCGGATATTATGACGCCTTATCGTACCTCGATAATTCCTATTCAGATAATTATTTAATTATGTTTTGGAATTGACAGCCAAAACTACTTTTGGAGAAGACATTTATTGTAGGACCACAAGCAAATAAGAACTATTTCTACACTATTTGCTATCCTAGTCATTGAGTTAAGATTCCCAAACCAATACTGAAGTCAATCTAAAACACAAGGATGATCTGAAACCAAAATCTCTAGATTGATCAAAGTTTTTAATAGAAACACAAAGAACTGATGGTAAAAATCGGTCTTGAATCCTAAAGGAAGAACGATTATTAATTCTGGCCATTAGAAGTGTAATCCAAGATCGGTGCAGTACAACTAGCTTAAAAAGTTGGTCAAAAATAATAATAAATAAAAAGAAAACAAACTACGTTTTATAAAAAAACCGACTTAAATCCACTCTTTTTTTAAAGTCGAAGCATTTATGTCAATTAATCCTTAATTAAGCACTTTTGAAACGCGAAAAATTGAATTGTCCGTCCGTCTGTCTGTTAGTGAAGCTAGGCAGTCGTTCCAAAGTGATGGTGCCGTTAAGCTAATTAATTGTAACAAACACGCTTCTAAAAACCGCATCAAAATCGGTTCAGCCAATCGACAGATAATCGCGATAACTGAGAGTCCTTTTTTTTAAGTCAATTAATAAAAATTAATAGAATTATTACATTAGAATCAAACAAATATGAATCTAATCATACCAATAAGGATTCAATAACAACTATATCTGGAATCTAATAATCCCTAATCTCTCAATGGAATGTAATCAGGAAAGACACTGAACGAGTTATCATTATCATAAAATAATTAATTCACGTACAATTTACGTTTGTCGTAGATTTTGAAATGTTAGCGGCGGAAATGAGGATTTTATTGAAACCTCTATTCAGAATTGTGGGAGAGCTATGCTTCGGCACGAATGGGCCGGCTCGACCGGAGTCGGCTCGGAACCCGAACTCACAGAAAAACGACGTGAAACAACGCTTGCGTTGTGTTTCGTCGTGTAAGGTTACCGGATGCCCAATTACCCCCTCCCCAGTCACCCCAATCCCCGAATCCCCCACAATCCTCAAATTCCCAAAAGGCACTAACGCACTTGTTTGTAATTCCAGGTGTCCATGGGCGACGCCGATTGCTTACCATCAGGCGATCCGTCTGCTCGTTTACCCAAAAAAAGACGTATCTAATGAATGGTGTCTGACTGTCTGGTAAACAATATATAAGTTCATAAGAAAAGACAGACAAAATGTTAGAATACTAGAGGTACCTACGATAAATCCTATGATGAAAAAGAGTACAGGATTTTAGACGGCAATTATACAGACATTTGGACAGAAATGTGATATAACTGGATAAAACAATCTAATAAACTCAATACAAAATCTTCCTGCCTTTATCCCAAAATCCCAAGTTACTTGGGATCGGCACATTATCTCACAGGAGCCTAGTTATTTAAATATCTGTAACATCTATTCCAGTTAGATTACTCGAAACATTTCCTTTCAACAGACATTGGCATTAAAATTGTCATTAAAAAAATGTTGTCGACCGGAATGAGCTCATTGGAATACTAATTTATTCATTATTGTTTTTATCATTAAGTTCTTTTTCCGTCGGCATACTGCATTTATCCAAATATATAATCAAATAGGCTGATACGCCAGAGATTTATTTAATTTAATCCGATAATGAAAACACGTGTTACGGGTAATTGGGCCTTCGGTAACCTCACTCCTACGACGAAACACAACGCAAGCGTTGTTTCAAGTCGGTTTCTGTATGGCCGTGGTATCACTCCGGTCGAGGCTGCCGATTCGTGCCGAAGCATGGCTCTTGCTTACTTAAACCACTACACTTGTATGTGTGTTTATACTTAATTACGTCAATAATTTGGAACAGGAATGTATTAGTGTCTGGAAAACACATAGGGTACCTACTTTTTATCCTACGCGAACCCTGACGAAGCCGTGGACAAGCAAGTCAAAAAATAACTTAATATGTAACTTTATTTCTATAAATTTAATCTTTTTAGGGCATGACAAAATTCGATGTTGAAGGCGGTGCCTTCCAGATATATTATTACTTGTTTTGGCAAACACAACGTACACAGTTCAACTCGTTTGCTATCGGTTCTTCTTCAGAAAATTGAAAGAATTAAAGACCTACCTTAGTATGAGATTCTTGGAACACGTACGGTCCCATTTCCACGACTTTGAGCTTCTCTGCCGTCCCACTTAGTATTTCGTTTACATTACTAATATTGAAGAAGAAGATCTCCAAAAACATAGGAATCGGTGTTTCCCTCCATATGCCGAACGATACAGAATCTGGTGCTAGGATCATCATCTGAAACAAATGAAGAAAGTTAGACTGAATGCAAATTTGGTCCTTTGAGGTCGTCTTGGTCCTTCAGTACAAAGGTTGGTACTAGACGACGTAGTAGTAGCGGGGTGCCTCACAACCCAGCAGTTACGAAGGACACTACGGGCGTTGGGGATCGGAGGACGATCTCCGACCACCGTAAGCAGTCCTACCTATATATTACACAATGTATTTAATGTAGTAGGTACTCCGTAGGCAAATTCAATTCGATATCAATGATAGGCCTGTTGTCAAACTTCTACTCAAACGTTACCTTGAATTATAATATCTAAATACTCCGTGCACAAATTGAAATTAGAACTACAAACTAAATGACATATGTAGTAACTATTATCTAATCTGTAAACTCGGAAAAAGCCACATTCCACACATTTCGCTAACAATAAATTATTATCCGAATAACTATGCTGCAATAAACATTTACTGCGGACAGAATAATCTTCACATAAATTAAAAAGCACATTATTTATTGATCACTAAGATTTTAAACAGGATCTAATTTTTATAATAACTATCGTGAGGTATACTAAATTTATTCAAAAATCACGGTTTACTCAAGTGAAAAAAATACTGAGAAAACTCTACTAGTTTCGACCCACAGGCTCTACTTATTTCGGAAGAAACCCTTTGTGGTTCGAAACTAGTAAAGCTTATTTTAGAGATGAGATTTTACATAAAGATAACAAAACCTATTAGGTATTTCTCCAAAAAAATATTATAGCAGTTTGTCTCTCAGGTTGTTTAACGCCTGAACTATAAATACTGGATCTGATTCTCAAATCTAGATCTCAATAACTCTAGATAAATTTTTTACAGTACGTCATTTTACAGTCATTGGATTGATATTGGTTCGTTCTATTAAGATTGGTTTTATAAGTAAAGAGAACCGGATAAAAGGTCAAGAAGACAAATAACAAAGCGATAGTGCGTCTCATGTACACAAAACACCGCTAATTAGTAGCAGCGCCACACATCGACACAACTGTCATTTACACAGTGTGCATGTGTGGGTAATTTCATATTACTGTGTATAAAAATATTCGTCCACCACATTCACATTGGAATATTCATTCTTTTGTCGGTATACGTATTTTTATAATTTAATGCAAGGGTAAGGTTAAAACTATTTACAATAATTATTGATATGACCCGACATTTTCACTGTCATTATCGTAATACTCCTGGTCGATTGGTTAATGAGCACGCTTTTATCGTCTTTCAAGGATCAATGATGATGTGGGTTCTATTCCAGCTAAAAGTTTTTTTATTTTACCTTGTTGTTTTTCTTATTTTTTTTTTGTTTTTTGTAATATTATATCAGGCTATAAAAGAAGCAAATGAGTCGGTAAATAAAACAATACCAATTTTTATTACAATTAATTTATTTATTATACAAATATGTGCTTTTATATTCAATATTTGTATCTAATAATTAATTATATACCACATGTTAAGTTTAAAGTTCTTTAAATCATAATTAATAGATATGATAATAAACCTCATAAGTAGTCGAATCGGGAAGTATCATGCGGTAATGCGATGGCAGCAACATTTTTTATTATGTAATAAACAAATACAACATTTTTGTTTTGTAATTTAATAAAACATTAAGTAATAAACAAGTAAAACATGTAAAAAAAATTACACTGAAATTTTAACATGTTATTTCTTGAAATGGGCGACTTTTTGTCATTGGAATCTTCAATTAATTATCTATTTTACGACCGTTGTTATAAGGTTCAATATTCAGAGGCTGTATGTTACTAAAAAAAATGTGTCAAATGCTATGGAACGATTTTAACATTCATGACCTTTAGATTCAGGGAAACTTTAAATTAGTTAAAGATGTGCGTAAATATAATATGTCAATCAAGCTCGAAATCAGTTAAATAAATTTGTTAATGAAAAATTAAAGTGAAGTGAATCAACATGTTGAATAGAAAGAAATTATGACAATTTCTAACCACAAAACAATAACATCACTTCACCGTATGCTCTAGACAGCATTTTAATATTCTTAAAAAATATAAACATTATTATAAGTTAATTTGAATAAAGGCTACATTACGTTTTGTAAAATATTCAAGTAATCATGACTGTTACTGAGACCAGATATTTCCACGAGCTCACCGGGACCCATAAAAGACATCCAACCCCAATACCCGACAGTAATACGGCCACTGGTCCTACAAGGCAGAAGGTTACAATTCGTATACCTTTCTCCATCTTTTCTCCACAATATTTTACGCCATCCTTATCCGACTTGAAAGTGTTTTCGTCACTAAATATAACCACACTGTTCGCCCAATCAAAATTAATAAAGTCCCTAGCAAATTCTAATCGCTTTTGCTGGTGCACCACAGATAACAATATTTTCTTCGCTGGCTTTCTGCACCTTAAACCAGCAGAATGCAGGTGTCTCCGTACAGTTTGTATTGAAACATTCAGTGCTGTCACTTTAGTGTGTGTTGGCAGGAACGGATCAGCCTTGTGCCTGACTACGATGTCGTAGTGCCGAGCCGATGAATTTGCCTTTGGTTTAGGCCCACGTCGACGATGTTCAACGTCACCGGTCTCCGCATATCTGTGCACCCATAACTGCACGGATCTCCTCTGTTGATACCAAACAAATAAGTATTTAAAATACCAGGAAATACTTTACAGGAATTAAAGTTACTTAAAAATAATAATAAATATAATTAATATCTATAAATAACTTTAAATTATAAACACAATATCAACTAGATATAAATTATAAACACAATATCAACTAGATAGAATATCAACGTAGTATATTATTTACTCACCGATATCATTAAACGCCTTGCAATTTCAATTATTGGTATGTTTTGCTCATGCAAAACAATGATTTCAGCCTTTTTAAATGTTGATAGGTGTTGGAACATCTTGTAAAAATAAAAATAACTTTGCACTCGAATATGAGTAGCGTAGCAATAAACTATGAAATCCTCATACATTTGACAACTAAGAACGCAATTATTTTGTAAGTCGGGTGATTTGAAAAACTTGTTTTATATAGTCGGTAGTTTCTTCATAAGCGGGTAAAATAAAATTCCATGGTCGCCACAAACATTACAAATATACTCAGGTATCCAACCATTAAGAAAGCATAGTTATTACTTTTTTACTGTTTTTTATCTTATTTAAGTTGGTTGAAATGCATGAAGCAAATGAGATTATTCTAAATAATAAATAGCTAGAACTAAATATAAATAAAAGATATTATAGGTATAAATAAATCTAAAGTATTTACTATTAAAATTAACATAAGATTTAGAAAAATAGGATAAGAAAAAAAAGAAAAGATTTAATTGTTTCAAATTTCAAATATTTGATAAATTAATACTAATACAACATGTGAATGCCGGAATCGATCCGGCGGCACATTACTTGACGACAACTGGAGGCGATAACCATTGCGCCAAGCGCGCTGTAGATGAGATCATCGAAATATTGTATATCATTCAGTAACATAAAAATACGATGAGAAAACACTATATTTATATGGGTATTGTATAGCTCGATCGTTCATTATTTGATTTCGATTTATTCAAAGTTTGTTATGAGTATTTTTATCTTTACCCTCGTTTTTATTTAAACTTATTTACTAAATTATTACGTATACCGACACAAAAATGATATTTAAATACCAAGATGTGTGTGATAGACGAATGTTTCTATACATATCTATTAATATGAAATTACCCACACATGTATATTGTGTAAATGATAGTAGTGTCGATGTGTGCTACGAACTAATTAGCGGTGTTTTGTGTACCTATTTAATCATAATACTCACTCTTTGTAACTGGCTGTCAAAGATCGCTGGCCAGAAGACCACTATGACGGCGCCTGATACAACCAGCAACGAGCCGAAGCCCAAGAAGAGGCCGCTCCTCACACCCGCTGACTTCACACACATCTTGATTTCTGTTAATTTACCTGTGGACGAGAACAAGTAATAAAATAAAACCTTAACCTTCAGTAATCTATGAAACAAATCTAACTATCACGTTGTAATACATTCTACTCATGAATATGTGCCCCCCGGCTAGGCTCGAAACTAGTCGAGTTTCGTCGAACAATTACGGAAGTCAAAAACCTTATTAACAATTTTTAAAAAAAAAAAAGAAATATGTTTTATTGTGGAATTATTTGCTCTTAACCTTAACATAACGTTTTTTACTCTCCAAAGAGCCTAATACTAAATGTAAGACCTACTTTTTGCCAGATGCATTGTACAATAGGCCGCAAGTCATTCTACACTTTTCTGTCAAATTTCGTCATTAGAATTTCAACTCTATCGTTTAGGTGTAAAGTCGAAAATCAAATGACAAAGATTGACACATTGAGTAGGTTGATGTGCTGGGCACTGTACCTAATACTTAGTGATGACCTTGATTTGAATCCATCAAGAGAACTCTTCATGTTTATGTTATCCTACCGAAATTGCATAATTAGATCGAATTCATTAAAAATTGATACGCATTTCATTAACGATTTATTGACGGTAATAAAAATACAAGCAATGCAACAATAGCGCCTTAATGGATTATTATTCTATTACCAAATATAAAATGGATTTTTATGGATTTATTGACACGTAAAATCCTATATTAATGTAGTTATAATTTGCTCGAATAACTTTAATAGTAAGAATAAGACATACAATAAAAAAGGAGGTTCTTATTTTGACCTGTCGGTATATTTTTGCGCATTTATATCGCGATTGGCTGAACCGATTTTCAGAAAAGTAGTTATATTAATTAACCGACTTCAAAAAAGGGAGATTTGAAGTCGGTTTTTTAAACGTATTTTATAAAAGAATTATTGATTATGGAGTTGTCATCTTGTACAGCAAAAAGCTAAATTTCCTGCCCATCATATGCACTTCTTCTTGCTAATATACGCTTCGGAACGAGCGATTAGTGAGTTAGATCTAATTTATTTAGTAGTTAGCGGACATGTCATTTGACTAAAGCAAAACGTCCGCCTAATTTAGGTCCATATTTAAGCATTATCGGTTATCTTTATCCACCTATGACAAGAAATATGACGACATTTAGTACTAACTAAACATAATAGTTCGTTATATTAACAACATTAATATCTCGGTATCAGATACTAGACTGTGATAACAATTATTTGCAGATAAATTCTTCCGCAGATCATTCTAGAAACTGATAGTGAAGGAACCGCAGTTTTACTGACTATTCGATTACCGTAATTTTTTTATGGCCGGTAAACGAGCAGTCTGATTGTAAGCACCACGGCCTCAAAGAAAACCGACGTGAAGCAACGCTTGCGTTGTGTTTCGTCGTGTGAGTGAGGTTACCGGAGGCCCAATTACCCCCAATCTCCCCAATTCCTGAATCCCCAACGATCTTCAAACTCCTAATGAATTTAGAAGGATTTAGGAGGTCGACTCGACCGGTATGATACCACAGATTCTCAGAAAACCGACGTTTGCGTTGTTTTACGTCGTATGATTGAGGTTACAGGAGACCTAATTAACTCCCCCCCCCCACAATCCCTGAATCCCTAAAAATGCTCAAACTCCTAATCCCTAAAAGGCCGATAACGCACTTGTAACGCCTTTGGTGTTCCAGGTATCCATGGGCAACGCCGATCGCTTACCATCAGGTGATACGTCTGCTCGTTTACCGGCTTATGTCATAATAAAAGCAATCGAACATAACGCTAGCGTTGTTTCACGTCGGTTTTCTGTGAAGCCATGGTATCCCTCCGGTCGAGACGGAGCGGCGGACATTTGAAATTTAATAAAGATCTACATTAGTAGTTATTGTAGATGTATCTTTATCATGTTTAAAGCCTAATCAGTTTTAATTTGATGATTCAAATCCGTCCTTTGTACCTACTTACCTAACGTCCATCAATCGATGAGTGATACGTAGTTACCGACAAATTTCGCAATGAATTCTTGTAAGTAGGACTATCAGATATCCGTCTGATTCGGTCATACCACGGATCACCTAAAGTAAGCAATCGGCGCCGCCCATGGACACTCGAAACACCAAAGCGTTACAAGTGCGTTACCGGCCTTTTGGGAATTTGAGGATTGTGGAGGATTCGGGGATTGGGGAGACAGGGACTAGGGAGGGGGGTATTAGGCCTCCGGTAACCTCACCTACACGACGAAACACAACGCAAGCGATGTTTCAAGTCAGTTTTCTGTGAGGCCATGGTATCACTTCGGTCGAGCCAGCCCATTCGTGCCGAAGCATGGCTCTCCCACACTTAAAAAGAATTACATATAATAAGAATTTCTTATTTTACTTTACTAAATACTAATAGTGTTTAGGTAAAGAAATTCTAATTCTTACTTATACAAACTTATGTTTACAAATTAGGATCTATTTTTAGGATTCCAAGAAGCGATCATAATCTAAGCTACGGCACTCCTATGATATCTCATTCAGCTCGAGGAGTAGTTAATGAAAGAAGCTCTGGGTTTAGTTGTGGCAGAGCACCAAGGGATAGTTTTAGACCAGTTTTGTTAAGTGGCTTAAGCCAATAAAATACAAATATTTCAGCTCATCATGATCAACCCGGGGGCAGAGTGGGCAGACATTGTTGGACATGTAGCATACCGTTGTCAGTTCTTCTCATCCAAACAATGGGGGCTACCGTTGGCGCAAATGCAGAAAAAGATTTTATATCAAATATTCAACGTCCAATGGCGTGATATGTCGCGGTGGCTGGAGGTTTCAGACGCCCGCCTATCATTCATGAGAGTGAGGGTTCGAAACCTACTAACGACAAGTACCAATGTAATATTTTACGAGTTATATGTACTTTCTAAGATTATCTAGACACCACTGACAAACGGTGAAGGAGAACGTCGTGTGGAAACCTGGGCTTATAATTTCTAATTATAAGTTTGAAATCGCCAACCCGCATTGAGCAAGCGTGGTGATTAATGCTCAAGCCTTCTCCATGTGCGAAGAGACTTTGCTCAGCAGTGGGCACTTATAAGCTGTTGATAATGAATGGCGAAGCTGATGATGATGAATGGCGTGATATTAGCTAATTCCCTACGACGAAGAACAAGAGATTCACACTAGCGACATCTGGTGATTTTGTGTTTATCATCATCAACATCGCTGTGGTGGCCGCACCCAAATCAGGGAGACGGAATCTCTTACATATAGAATGCATATTTGATTGATAATCTAAATTTTGTTTAACAAGCAATGTAAAAATATTATAATAATGTATCAATATCCACTTCAGTCATCACTCATCTCTAGTGTGTGTCAAGTATCGATGTTTCAAGTGATTTTATCGATAAATACTTACATGACCTATTTTTTATATTGAACATAGCAGAAAGTGGCACTTGTTGGCAATATCCAAGATAATGCTAACTACCCTGATTGCCTCGTTGGCCGAGTGGTCGCAAGTGCGACTGCCGAGCAAGGGGTCTCAGGTTCGATTCCCGGGTCGGGCAAAGTATTACTGGGTTTTAAAACAAAATCTTAGTAGTAGCACGGAGTTTCGGAGTATGCCCGGTATATGGCAATAGGCTCACCCCCTATTAGATGGGACTCATAACATAAATATTGAAAAGTGGGTGTTATACTGTACAGAGGCATAATTTCTACCTCTGCCTACCCCTTCGGGGATAAAAGGTGTGATGTTATGTTATGAAGTTATTTTTAAATAAGTTTTTATCAAAGGTTTACTCAATGACGATAATATAAGGATAAAATGGTAGGTCTCTTCTTATCATTTGACTAAATTTGATTTAGACTTACTAAGGATTAAAATATTTACAAAGATAACAATAGTTATATCTATGAAGCTGTAATAACTAGTGGAAAAGATTGGGGAATTGGATTAAAAATCAATTAGTTATAATAATATAGGATTTTACTATTTAATCTATTTATCTATCTATGATTTAATCATATATCTAAACTAAAGTAGGTGGTCTTTTTTTTTTAAGAGGGGAATATCATCGAATGACTGCTCCCGCCTGGGTGAGGCGGGAGGGAGTGTCAGACTCTTACTGACTAAAAACCACCCCGTTCCTTCTCCTGCACGTCGAGCCGGAGCCCCGGTTACCCGTTAGGTTCTCCGCGACAAAGTAGGTGGTCTAGGTAACAGTGGATAGCAGGTTAACCGTTTTCAGTAAATTAAATTTTTGATTTTCAACTCTATCATTTAGATGTAAGTAAAGTCGATAATTTAATGATATATATACTGTATTTTTACATATATACTGTATAAATATATCACTGTATTTACACTATATTGTGGATGCATAATTTTCAAGTGTTTGTAGGTATTTACCTATTTGACTAATTTAAATTGACTTTGAATTACTTTTGTTTAATACTACACTGATTTATTGATGGAAATTGATTTAACAAAACACAAATACTTATTGATATAAATAAATAAAACATTACTAATAACAATGCAGTAATTTGTCACTAATTAATCTAAAATTGTTGTTTAGTCGAAGTAAATACTGAAAAATATAAATCAACAAACACTTAAAGTCATCTTCTACTATTATAAGAATTATTTATCGTCAAGACTGCCTCATTGGCTGAGTGGTCGCAAGTGCAACTGCCGGGCAAGGGGTCTCGGGGTTGATTCCCCGGTCGGGCAAAGTATTACTAGTTTTTTTTTAAAGATTCACAGTAGTAGCACATAGTCTTGAATTGTGCCCGGTATATGGCAATAGGCTCACCCCCTCTTACATGGGACTCATACATAAATAGTGAAAAGTGGGTCTTACATTGTACAGTGGCATAATGTATTTTTTTTGTAGTTAATAGATTATGAGATCTTGAGCCAAGTGCATTTTTTATTTTTATTAATTTATAAAATTGACCTCCAAATAAAAACAAGATATACCCACATGTTAATGTCAAAGTTTTAATAGATTAAACCACAACAAAATAACTTTCTGTCATTCAGACCCTCAGTTACACAACTTGCTTATTCCAAAATGAAGATTCCTTTAAATAATAGTTCATGAGCAAGAAACTCTATGTTTTCTCTATTTGAATTTGAATTCAGAACAATAACCATTAGTCTAATAAATTAATAGCTTTAGTGAATAAGTGAACCAAACAAAGGCTCTAATCATCACAAATAATATTACATGATGTCACCCTGAACAGAAATAAAAAATATTTTTAAACATTTATCAAACGATTTGGCCTAGACATAATTAATATTAGCAAGTTTATGATTTATTTCATATTATTTAAAGCTTTTGAGATAGAAATTATAAACAAACGAAGCATGTAGGTCGTTAAGATAAAAACATACCTAATGGTGTCATTGATGATAAAACAACACCTAAATAAAAAATTAAAATGTTGTTGGTTCAATTTTGCACTCTTCACTAACTGGTATAAGATTCAATGTTAAAAATCATTTTACTTAATACTTTTTACGAGATTCGAAATTTGAAATAGTCATCTGCAGATGACTAGACTACTTGTTTAGGTACCTAAAGAAAAAATTTGAATAAAGAAATCATTTTATTAAAAAACTAGCCAACTTGATAAAGAAACAAAAGATAGTAAATAATTATAAGGTGGCGTTTCCGATATAAATAAAATGACAACGGTAATTCGAGGAATTAGGTACACTGAACTATCATTATTACGACTCAAGTCATATGACTTAGCTAGGCGTAATTTAATAAAACAAATTAGTATACTTACGTTTTACAGCATAAATAAATTACGAATCTAAACTTTGTTCACCCACGTTTTATACACTTTTCATTTGCTATTTGGCACTTAAAATCAATCTAATTCACATGCACTGCTTATTAACATTTTCGCTTACTTTTCTAAACAACACAATTTAGATTATTTTAGTAAAAACGTAAATAATATTTGAAATAAACTTCACGTGGTTTCACTGTAAAGTCTATTCGGAGAATAAAAATATAGTTGTAATAACTGTCAACGTCAAAGTCAAAATACTTAGTGACATTTGTAGTGTTACTAGCGTAAAGTTTATTTTCTACTAATGATAAATAATAATAACGATATCAATGAAATATTCAACAATCAAGCCAATTATTAATATTTTTGGCTTTTTGGTTTATTATCAACGTAGTGTATTAAGTATCATCCTCAGTGGACTCGCAATTAATTCTCCAGGTACTCAAAACGATTTCATAGCTCAATCTGAAAGCTCTCGGAGCTACCGATATGTGCATTCGAAGGTCGGAGCATGGACTTCATCAGACGGGATCTTTCTAACTTTACATTGATATTTAACTCGTCGAGTACTGTTATTATAGACACAATGTCAACAAACACCTAATTGTGTCTATAATGACGGTACTCGACGAGTTAATGTGCCTCTGACCAGTCAGTGATCGCTACCGGTTTTTGCCTTACGGATTATTGAATATCTGTCGTCTGATCGATCATGATGAAGTCCATCTCATTTTTCGTGGAACCGTCCGGGCTCATAGGTCCTCCTTCTCCAGGAATTCAGCCAGCCTCCGTCCCCCATGGTTCCGTTGCCTATATCCAAATTGCCCCACTCTCAACTCTCACTATCATTAACGAAGCCTTTGTAATTTATATGACCTTTAGGTAACCTACTCTATCTCATTGGAACTTAGTGCATCAAGGTGGTACCCGCCATATTGGCGTGGCTGTGGTGTTTTAATTAAACCTACGGCACGGTGACCTGCTCTTACGCGCGACACACGACCTTACGAGCAGTGAGACATACCAAAAGAGAAAAATAATTAGGTCATGTCATGTCATTCACGCCATTGGTTTAGGCATGACAGGAAGGGAGAGGTATCTCTGCAGTCCTCTGGTGGCAGAGTGAAATTACCAATGAGTAGAGTGCATCACCACTTAGTTAGTAATCCAGCCACTAGCAACGTCTTGGTTGCGCCTAATTAAATGAAATCAGTTTTACTAATGTGTTAGGTACTAAAACAACATTTAAATAAAACAAATACATGCCTACATATTTCTTTATTATTGAATAAATTACAAAAATGCTATTAATGTAAAATTCCATTCAGGCAGTATATCTGCATAATAGATATTCCTCAAATTAAGTAGGTACGCTAAATAAAACCTAAAACCAAAAAGTTTAAACTGCATTAAACTTACTGAAAAGCATACTTTGGAATGGTCCACAAGCCTACAATTTGAGACAAGCATTACATGTAAACTGAGTAAAATCACAGTAAAAAAGCGATGACTTTTAAATACCTAATTAAGTTTCATTCAACATTTGGTAGGCGAAAATCCATTTCAAAACTCGATCTCCGTGTTAAAGTATCCGAGATGGCGAGACTCTGAATGTATAAGTACCCGAATCGATTAAAAAAACCGTATCCTGTGCTGGATATAAAGTTTATTTAATCGTTTTTCTAAATGCAAATTCTCCTACCCGTGTACAAATAAAATAATCTGAGAAATGTTGCCAGCAACAAAATATTTGCTGAAATAGTAAGTTTTTCTAATCGATTCGAATACTAATTAATATAAACCTAATCTCTAGACAAGGTGTCCGTAAACTAATGTATAGCAATGAGGCCGGATTCTAGAAGCTTCTGAATCTTAGCGGCAATGTCTGGGTTCTTGAGATGGTCCTGTAAGGCGTGGGGATCTTGTTGCATCTGTTCGAGGATGCAGCGCATGGCTGGGTCGCGGAGGATTTGTTGCACTTCAGGGTCTGCCATTGCGCGTTTGCGCACCTGTAAGAGGAAAGATCGTTAGATTATTTCCTGTCAATATTAATTTATAGATCTGAAGATCGACTTCAGTGGTGTGATACGCGAATCTATATCTAACACTGAGTAATTGGGTAGTTGATAGGGTAAGAAAATTAAAAATCTAATTAGTCCATAAGTTAGGTCAAAAAATATTAGACACGTATTTTTTTATTTTGTTGTATAATAAAATGATACTTAGATATAACGAATCAAAGTTTACACGTACCAGACGAACATTAAAATAAAAATTAGTCATCTACCCTATGACGACATAGTTTACCACATCTTTGAAAAAAAAAATGTTACGATTTGGGATTCATGCTACTTCAAATCGATACTAGATACAAGTTAAGAGGCGAGAAAATTAATCTATAAATTGTGACATATCTTACCTCCTCAGGATTGGAGTTCAGCTGAGTAGAGCAGGCACGGTAGCCCTCCAGGGCCTCAGCATTGCTTGGGTCTAGCTCGAGGGCCTTCTGGTATGCGGTTAAAGCTTTGGAGTGCTGTTGCATGCCCTAGAAAAAGAAAGACATATTTTCTAGACTAGAGTTTAAACAACATAAAAAGTAGTAGGAGTTTTCAACATAAAAACCTATTAGATTGCATCGAATTAATTGATTTTTGACTATCAAAAAGTACATATTTAACAACTTTAATAGTAAGATAAAATAAAGTACTAATTTATGTACTGAAATACATATATAAATTATCATACTATAACTTCTATGCAACTGCCAAATCAGTAAATGTTCGAAAAAACTAGTCAGTCCTTACCTGAAGGATCTTTCCCTTCCGGATCCATCCCTTGATAAACTTAGGGTCCAGTTTGCAGCACTGGTCGCAGTCTTTAAGTCCGAGGTCGAAGGCGGCCAGCTTCGTGTAGCAGGCGGCACGGTTGGAGTACAGCTTCGGGTCATCAGGGTTACGCTTGATGGCTTCAGTGTAATGCTTTACTGCGGTACTGTAGTCTCCTGATGATGATAGAGGAGTAAGTTATATATGGGGGTACGAGTACGAGGCTTGTCGAGACAAGAATCGACAGATTTGTCTTTTATTTACAAACTGGTAATGTAATGCAATAAATTAAATGCAGTTATAAAGACATATGTGAGAATGGTCAAGTGCTACGGGTTCGGCTTCGTATTCGCTAAGTAGTAAGCATGTCTATAATACCCACATGCGACTATTTGCAAATGTTCATTATTTAAAGCGGAGGAAAATGCCGACAATAACGCGAGAGAGGAGTGACGAACACCCATTTCCATTTTACGTAGAAAAATTCAATAAACTTGAAGTTTCCCTGAGATTGTTGCTGAATTATTAAATCTTGATGCTGAAACGAGAACATAATTTTGTTACTATTTACCCTTCTTAAAGAAATCGTTGCCAAGCTCCTTCTCCTGCTCGGCCTTCACTGGGTCGATGTAGGCCTTCTTCTCTTCCTCGACTATCCGTCTCTCGACCTCACTCAGCAACGTCTTGATCTCGGGAGTACGGTGCTCAGACATGGACTTCTCAAAGTAAGTCTTGGCTAACTTCCATTGTTCCATCTTCTTGTATGCATTGCCTGGTTAGAAGAATAAATATAAGAAATGTGTGAATTTCTACAGAACATACATTTTGGTAAACAGGTAATAGTGGTTGTGGGTATGAGAGAAGCTCAAGTTGATTTCCAAAACAAAGACTTAGTACTTTAAGGTCCGATTTTCCAATGCCAGATAAATTTTAACTCAGGAATAATTTTGAACATAATTATTTCATATCATTGAACACACTTTGAACATATACAATAGTGTACACAAATACAACCTAAAACTCCAAACAGCCACTAAGGAATGAATAGTACCTTCCCTTAAATTGTTGGCAACTTAACTGCGATTCCTAAGCAAATCCAATAAGCATATCGCCATTAAACATTTTAAATAAAAACTTAAAGATAAAAAGATCCTAAATACTACATATCTTTAATCTTTTTCAAAAATAAAAACAAGATATACTGCTGAGTAGAACGGAATGGAATGTTGAGCTATAGACAATGTAATATATAATGAGACAAAATATGAAGATGATACTTTCTCTTTCTTATTTTTTTCTAATTTAAAAAGTGTCATGGTGGAAGCGTATAAGAATTGTAATAGGATGTTGATGTCTGTTTTTAAGTAATTAGTAAAATAAACGTGCAACAATATTGAATATTACTTTTATTAAACATCCTTCATATACCATTTTGGCAACATGTTTGTTGATTTACGCTCAACCAATACCACTGAATAAACATATTTTATCGAAATATTCTATTAAATGTTTTGGCTTAATGCCAGGAACCACATCATCATGATCCTAGGGATATTTATTAAATTATTGACTCAATTGACCTAGTTATTGATAGAGAGAAATACATGACGCATCTTTTTCTTTTAAGTAAGACAGGGATTTACTGTAAGTCAACTTTTTATACATTCAATAAAAGTGAAGGTTGTCTCAAACATTATAAGCATTAAGGTTTATCAGATGTTGGGGTGCTCATTAATATATTATGTAATTACACTTATATTATGTTCGTAATATTATGTAATATTGTAAGTTTCTTTGTTTAAATGTTTGTCCGTCAATCACGCTGAAACTACTGAATGGATTTTGATAGTTTTTATCCCGATTAAATGAATGCATTCATGGGATAAAACAGGAATACGAGTAAGGCCGAAGGTAAAAGCTAGTGTAATGATAAAACTAAATTAGTGCTTTGAGTTAGTTATGCCATATTATGAATACTGAAATGCTACTCAATTTTAAGTTGTTCTCTGTCATTTTATTAAAAAAAAATTTAGAGACAGAATTACTCTTAAGAGCCTCTTAAAATGAAGTGACGTTTGAGTATTTGAACATGAGACATATAGTATCAATCGGCAGTCATTTGTGTACATTTTAGTTTAACCCTATAGACCTACTGACTAGTATTGACCCTATTGTTAATAGATAAGTAGGCGCCGATAGTTATAATATGCGGTTTAAAACATAATAGTGTAATAATGAACTTATTTATATTAATATTAATATCACGAAGTGTCACTGATTTATTTTTAGCTAACCTTACAAATAAAAACACTTGGACATACAAAAGAAATATTTTCTGGTAACAGCATTTCTGTAGGTCCTGATTATTTTCGGGTGGACATTTAAAACTTATATCCAGGAAGAAACCTAATTTGGATTTTGTAATATTGAATTAATTTTGGCCGCCGACCGTTCTTATTTTGTGTGTAAATGGCACAGAACAGTTTTAAATACAATGTAAATATAATTATAATTCATTAAAAGAAGCCATGTCATTACGAACTGGAAACGAAACTAGTTGTCTTACGTTTTGATTGAGAACTTCCGATAGTTAGCTATCAAGAAACATTTTGAAACGTTTAGAACACTCTTATTCGTATCAGTCACTCTTAGCGATTTGGAATATCTAGCAGGGCTAAAGACCTAGAACGCATTATCACCACTTATTATCAGAAATGTGTATGCCACGTACCGAAAGCTAAAAATCGATAAACCTACGTGCAATACTATTTAACAATTTACCCTTCTGAATTACAACTCCAGTCGTCCATTGTTCACACTTTTTACCTCTATTTCCCCAACAGTAAGAGCGAAAATCGTTAACCGCAAGCACGCAACAACAATAATAGAAAACCCACAATTCTCGGAAATAAAATAAGCGATTCTGACCCCAATTATCATTTTCCATGGCTATATCAACTTGCATAATGTACTGAGTGTAGAGTATTTATAGTAATAAATAACGAATGAAAATATTGATACACTGTTTTGACTTATTAATCTAAGGACATTGAACTTGTACTAGATATGGCTGATGCCTAATGATAGTAGATGAAGGCGCATTACTAGTCTTTAACTATTCTCATGTGTAGGGTAACGCTACCATTTATTTTTTAACTCAAAAAATGGGACATTCGTTTATTTAGACTCAGTCAGGCATATAGTACCTTGATTCTTTTATAAAACCTGTAAACATAAACTCTGTGCCCACAACAAAAAGGTTAAACTTACTAACTACACAAAATATAAAGAACTTAAAGATTTTTGCAAGTACATACTTCGTCAAAAATTAGCGAGTGATGTACTGATGTTATCTATGACGCTGTATGGCTTTCGCACACCACTCGAGCCGTCCGAACAGTCGTCGCGTAGGTTTGACTATTAAAATTTTCGAGTGGTTTCCTGGTCATTTCGAGGACAACAGGACTCGTAATTATAAAGAAACAGTCCCGATCAAAAAGGGGCGTCTGATCACGTTATGTAAGGGGCAATTGAACAAAGTAATCACGTAATGGTAAGCAAATCGCGGTGCCAGAAGTCACCTGAATACCGGAGGAGTTACAAGTGCGTTACCGTCTTTTTTAAAAGGGAGTGCGGTATTTTCTTCAACTTTGAATGATTACGGACATTATTTTGTTTTTTTTTTTTTTCAAAAATATGGTATAGAATAGTTGTAAATTCAAGTGTTCGAAAAAGAGGCCAAGACTTTTGTAGGTAAAAATAATTACTGTTATGTTAGCTCAAACAGTTTAGTCATGACATGGCAACAACATGGCTAACCACAGAATATGACAAAATATATTATCTAAATTCTAACACAAAGTTATCAGTAATTGCTGATAAAAAGGTGTGAGAACAGCTTATAAAAAACTTGTATAAAATATTAATACTGCAGAAACAATAGCATACAAAAATACAATTATCTAAACTATAAAAACTCAAATGGGATAATTAAATTAGCAGTGTATAATGTAAACTTGGAACATTATTTATATGAATGCCATATTTAAAAAAGCAAAAATTCTGTAGTTTTCAGACAATAACCACCCATAATTACTGTACGCACAAGGATTCTCCATAGTGCGCAAAAGAGCCAGCACACACTACAAAACCCTAGAACAAATAATGCTATATGACAAAAAAAAACATCAACTTACCAATTCTAGTAAAAGCCTTGGCTATTAACTTGAAGTCTGCTCTATTCTCTCTTCCAATATCAATAGCTTTCTCGCACTCCTTAATACATTTCTCATACTCTTTCTGCTCAAAATAGACAGCGGCCATATTTGTGTAAAAAGTTATGTCAGTGGGATCATGTTCTACTGCCTTCTGATAATGTTTCAGAGCATTATCAAAGTCTTTTTTCTTATAGCTTTCATTCCCTTGATCCTTCTCTTGTAATGCTAGCCTTCTGTTCTCTGGCAGGTCATCATACTTCGGTTTTTCAGGCTCCTGGTTCTTCAGTGGCTCCTCAGTCTTTTTCTCAGGCGCTGGTGGGTCTACGTCCATAGGCATTTGAACATCTAGGCCAAACATAATGCTAATTGTGGTGAGGACTCGTTTGTCTTCTAGCAAATTGCCGAGCTTTTGGACATCGAAGGGATTCTGGACTATTTTCTGTAAACATAAAAGTGGCTATATGAAGCTGCCAATTTTCAACATGATGGGTAAGAAAAAAGTATTGATATTATTTTTGAAACAAACATGTTAAACTGTCAAACACCAAGCGGTAACCGGTGACCGCGACCTATTGTTCTTTAATTGTGTCTATAATGACAGTACTCAACGAGTTAAGGGATTAGCCAGACATTTATGTTTAAGAACATTAGCCAAGATAAGGTTTATACTCTACATAATCGAAGACCTGGTAAATTGTACCTGTTATGTTGAAATACACATGAACAAGGCCATTATTATCCACTGTGACATGGGTCACAATAAGCAAAGATGACAAATTGCATTGCATTAATTATACTCCTTAATATGTTGAAATATCATAAAGAAAAATCCCCAATATTTGTTCATACAAAAGTAGTCTCTAATCATCGGAAATAAGGTCTATAATGGAGTTAGTTGAGAGCGGTCACCGGCGACCGCTGGACATATTTCTACTGCTTCGAAGCTGTGTTATAGGAGAACTCCCAGCCTCACAAACAAAAACATTGAATATCCATATTATAATATTCAATGACACATTTATATGTGAATTTATAAATCAGTCATCCAATATGGGTAAGTGTAGCCTTACTTACATAGAATTGCTGATTAAACTTTTTACATGTAATTTAGATCTCATGTGGATTGAGATCAAGTATGCAATTAAACCAGAGTTCTAAAGATCATAATCAAATGATGGCACTACTAAAAATAATAAAATAATGCTTTTTTCTTGTCCGCAAGCAGTAGTCATTTAAAATATTTGATCAACTGAATATATTAATAGTACATTTCCTTTATCAAATGCTAATTTATGCACAGAACACAAGTATAAGTAATAAAATGGAAGAATATAGTGAGAAACAATAGGAATAAAGGTATTCAACAAAATAATTGTGATATAGACTCAACAATTATGTAGTAATTTACTTACTTCAACAATTTTACAGTATTCTGGATCATTTAACCAGTCCCTCGTCTTTGGGTTATTCCTGAGCTTCTCTAACACCTGTTCTAATTTGACCTTATTGGCAATAATTGTTTGCTGTACATCAGCCAAGCCTGTGGCCAACTGTTCATTGTTAGGGTCCAGCTCTAAACCCTTGTTGTAAGTCTCTACCGCCTCTGCATGCCGGCCCAAGTACGCCAGCGCAGAACCTTTACGGGAGTACCCCTTGGTCCATGTAGGGTTAAGAGCGATGGTCTGGTTAGCATCCTCTAAAGCTGCTTCGTAGTTCTGAGCCTTAGCATGAGCTGCCGACCGGTTGCTATAGAGAACGTGGTTACTAGGATCCACGGCAATAGCCTCCGTGTAGAATTTCACGGCATCGTCCAACTTCCCTGCTGCTAATGCCGCATTTCCCTTCTCCTTTAACTGAGTCGCCTAAAAATATAACCCACGCTAGAATTGTGCTACTTCATTTAAAATTACAGCCTCAAAGCATCGGTATAACCTCTTACCTGATCCATAATAGGTTCTTCTAAAAACTTATCAAACCAAGATGCACTTGCAGTAAAATATTAACTTTTAACTATCTTAAGTTTTCACTTAGCAAACCTTTCTTTATTTCACTAATTTGTTCGCGGAGTTCAAACAAGAAATACGAAGTCTAGAACTGACACTTCAAATTCGAGAAAATTCTCGCCAGAATGCGATAAAGAATGACTTTCCAGAAAGAGTGTACAATTTTTAACATTTCAATGCATTAGTAAATTCCCAAAATTATATTGTACTCTGTCTCACATGCAGAATTTCACGTAAAGCTATCTCGCTCAATGAAGGAATACGTTTTTATTTCTGAATTATTGAATACTAGTCTTTTTAGTTCACCGACTGATTGACAGCTGATTTTGTCAATGGTTTTTATTTTGGTTTTCAATCAAAGCTTTTTCTTTTCATCACTAGTTCATTACGTTTGTTTTTTTAATCTTATTTTACCAGTAACAAACTTATTTTCCCGTTTATAATACTAGTTGTAAGTTGGAAATTGTTTTAAAATTACCGAGTGCAAGGGTTTGAGGCTTGGGTTGTGCTTGTGCATAGTATAAATTAATCAATATGTTTCCGGTGAAACTTTAATAATTTACTATATTTAAAAACAAGGTCAATCGTTTTTTTGCACAGGACTCAGAGCATTTTGTAATAAAACATTATTATTTCTTTATCAATTTTTCATTTGGCATCCCCATCATCGACATTATTTATAAATTCTATTTAATCTGTGCACTGAAAAATGTCTCCTGAGTTGTCTTAGATAGCATACCTATCGAGTGTTTTATTTTATTTTTGACCAGCTTTCTCTAATCTAAATCACACAAAATTAATTCAGCACCTACCGCAGGGCTGTGAAAATAGAGAATTTGTAATTAGAGCCTTGACAATTGTGTAGTAGTGTCGCCGTTAATCATTTAATAGGACCGACGCTTGTCACGCTAATCATTATTTTGTAGTGTTCGTAATTGGTTCCTAGACGTTGTGGGGAATACCAAGTGGTAGTTGGGATCGATGGCAGTTTGAGTGTTTCCGTAGTGTAATTATTGGGGGGAGAGAGGCTGCCCCTGTTCGGTGACTCATTCGCGGGCTGGTGCGTTAGAAATCATGGATACCGATGATGGAGAATCCTCGAGCAGCGGTCCTATGTCCAGCCTGAACAGCCTGTTCTCGTTCACAAGTCCCGCCGTCAAGAAATTGCTGGGTTGGAAGCAGGTATAGTAACGAAATCACTGTTATTGTAATGTGTTGGCTTTGTAAGCAGTTTCTCTAGTGTTATTTTCTATCCTGTAAGCTTTAAAACAAATCATTAATCCATGAAAAGTAATAGCTCTCTGAGAAAGAAATGAATGAGAGAACATCCCATTCACAAAATTACCAGAAAATACCATGCACATCCTCCACATTGTTAACTGGCCATCGGACTTAAGATTACAATGTGAAACCTTATTTTTAAAATAAATAACATGTGATTGATAGGCCCAAGAATCTGTTGGAAATTCTATTCACCAATTCATTATTTTCTATAAAGTTGTCTTAGAGATGATTTTAAAGAAAGTTCCATAAATAGCATAACATAACATCACGCCTTTTATCCCTCAAGGGGTAGGCTGAGGTGCACATTGTGCCAATGCACAGTATAACACCCACTTTTCACTATTTATGTTATGAGTCCCATGTAATAGAGGGTGAGCCTATTGTCATATACCGGGCACAATTCCAGACTCCGTGCTACTACTGAGAATAAAAAAAAACCCAATAATACTTTGCCCAACCCGGGAATAAAACCCGAGAACCCTTGCCCGGCAGTCGCACTAGGCCAATGAGGCAGTCCATAAACATGTAGGTTTTTACAAACTTCATTTCAAATTTTTTCCTTGAAGATCAAATGAGGAAATATTTAAGTACTGTTTGAAAGCTTATAAAACAAGAAAACTTCTTTCCTTGCTATATAACATAAAAAAAAGCCTAAGGACAGTACAGGACACATAGAATTTAATCCTTAATAACTACATAGTACTTATATGAATATATTGTCAGATATTATGTATGTTTGCAGTTAATTCCTCAATGGTTTGTTTGGTTACTCTGTCTATCTTTGATTGTTTTATTATCTATGGAATTATGATAAAAAAATAACAATTCAGACGCAACTGTTTTGCAACTTTATTCTATGAAATAAACATTCAAGAATCTGTAATTTAAATGGTTACTGCTTTCTGATTGTAACCAACCTCCTTGCAACTCTACCTCCTCTCCAAGTTTTAACTTGATTACCAGTTAATCTGACGCACTGTTTGTCCATATAAATGTGTCAAACATGAGTCAGGTGTGCTAACACAACTTTTCTTGGCAATGGTGAAACATCCATACAGTTTACAATTAAATATTATTTCTCTTACAAAATAGTTACAGCAATCAACCGTCGAGACGTCGTCGTCGTCGTCGAGACGAGTTAAGTAAGTATATAGACGGTACTCGACGAGTTAATTGTAGTTAAAGTTATTGATAAAAAAGTGAAATACACAAACATTTTTTTAACTGACTTTATCAGTAACATAATAGTATTGATTGAACTAACATATTCTAAAAATGCAACCGTGTTCCTGTTCATCCAAGGTGTTAAGCTTACAGGGCTTGGGGTATTCCCAACACTGAGAACTTATAAAAGCAACAATAAATCATATTTGTTCAATATGAGTCACACACAGTCAATATGTTCCTAGGAACTATGAGTCATATGTTTCAAAATATGTTGTTTACTATCTCACAATCAAGATTTCTTTTATTTCTTAATATTATTGAAGGATTTTTTGTTTACAATATATTTGACAAACGTAATTGATTTCCGAAAATTTTGCTGTGACACATATCCTGTTGTTGTTATTTCTTTTACGTTAATATTTGATTAAATGCGTTGCTGGTTACTGCACAAGAACTCATAAATGATATTTACCTTAACTCGTCGAGTACCGGTTTTGTAGACACAATTATAGAACAATAGGTTGTGGTCACCAGTGACCGCTTGGTGTTTGACAGTTTAATAATCTAAATCTACCTTTTGAGTCAAGAGCCGAATAATTTATGTAAGCAAATTGTCTAATTAATTCGTAAGAGATGTAGCTGCATAAGCATCCTTATTGATCAACTAATAAAGCACATAATTATTAACTACTAATAAAAACTAGCAAAGTCTACTGCATTAAATAAAATAGACAGATTTTTTTATAAGTTGGTAAACAAGCAGACGGATCATCTGATGATAAGCAATCAGCGTCGCTACTTTACAGCAGAGGCGTTACAAGTGCGTTACCGGCGTTTTGGAACTTTGAGGGTTGTGGGGGATTCGGGGATTTGGGAGACTGGAGGGGTAGTAGGGCCTCTGGTAACCTCAATCACACGACGGAACACAATGCAAGTGTTGTTTCACGTCGGTTTTTCTGTGAAACCGTGGTATCACTCCGGTCGAGCCGGTCCATTCGTGACGAAACATGGCTCTCCCACACTCAAAATATCATTTATTTACCCAACTATCAGGCCTATCTCTTTCAAAGTCACAGTCAAAGCATTTATTTCGATTAAACCATAATTTGATACTTTTGAAATGTCAACAAACATCCTTACTGTAAGTCGATATAAAATGGTGAATGAATGAATTTCTAACATTTAAATGATTCATTTAACATCACCCGTGCATTGTTAATATAACAGGCACTGGTAGACATGTTTAGAATAAGCAATTAATTTACCAGTTTACTTGGTTTCCTTCCTTAATCTAAAGTTGAATATAAATAGGAAAAATGACAAAGACTACCAATATTTTATTAAACGTACTTTATTGCTCTATAATAGTTAATAATTATGTTTTCAACTTACCCTTAATTATTGCCAAATAAACATTTTATTTTATTATTTATTATTGCCAGAGTCTGTATTTTCTGAAGGGTATCTTCAAGGCTCGAGTGAATAGGTTGCTTATGGGACGACGTGCTGCATCGTATACATCGCTTATACACCAGGCGAGATAGTGGTCAACGTCGGCCCATCAAATAATTTAAAAAAATATTTGATGAGGAACTTGACTAGTTTTAAGCCATGTTAGAGGCTCATATTCATGAACAGCATTCCGCGACCTGCGACGCAGCGACTGACGCGCTGCTACGGGTTAAACTAGTCGAGTTCCTCTTCAAATAATTACGTGAGTTAGCCGAAAAACATATAATACTCTGGAATATTATTTTAACCAGAGCTGTTTAATTATTGAAGGTTCTGATAACATAGCGATTAAGGGCTGTATTCTGTGATACTAAAGAAGTACTTTAAATTGGAAAATGAGTAATTCTGAGTTTAAAGTACTTAATAGGAAAATAGTAAGGTCTATTTTCATTAATAGCTAACTGTATTATGTAGTATGTGTGATAAGTGGTCAAAAATTATCAAAATCTGCCTCGTTAGCCGAGTGGTCGCAAGTGCGACTGCCGGACAAGAGGCCTCGGGTTCCAATCACGGGCCCGCGGTAAAGTATTACTGAGCTTAAAAAATCTCAATAGTAGCACGGACTTTGGAATTGTCACCTATTAAATGGGACTCATAACATAAATAGTGAAAAGTGGGTGTTACATTGTACAGTGGCATTAAGTGCCGTAATATGCACTTCTGCCTACCTCTTCGGGGATAAAAGGCGTGATGTTATGTTAAGAATCAAAAACTCCTTTGTGATAGGAGGCACACCTATGAGTTTGTTTTGGTGTATCTTCTCAGAATAAAGTGAGGAAATACCATATTACTTGGCAGGCCATTTACTGAATAAATATTGTTTATCGCAGGTCGCTAATACTACGAATTCGCAAAATTGGGACTGATAATCGTAACTGAGTGGTTTGTTGTTCGTACCTATAGTTATTATCCTTAGCACACACTTACAAAGTATCTTTTTATTAAATTATTATTCTTCTTATTAAATTACTATAATTTATTGCTTGATTTTATAAATTATTCCTGTTCCAATTACAGGGTGATGAAGAAGAAAAATGGGCAGAGAAAGCGGTCGACAGTTTGGTCAAGAAATTGAAGAAGCGGAAAGGTGCTATCGAGGAGTTGGAACGAGCGCTGTCGTGTCCTGGCACACCGTCCAAGTGTGTCACTATACCTCGGTCACTTGATGGGAGGTTGCAGGTTCGTATCATTTTGTTTGTAATCAACAACATCATCACCCAGAAGCATTTTGAAAATATTTTGCGATGCGTAAAAACAATAACTAATATTTCAACGTTAAAATTCCAGGTATCGCACCGTAAAGGCCTCCCTCACGTCATCTACTGCCGTGTGTGGCGTTGGCCTGACCTTCAGAGCCACCACGAGCTCAAACCCTTGGAGATTTGCCAGTACCCCTTCAGCGCAAAGCAGAAAGAAGTGTGCATCAACCCCTACCACTACAAGAGAGTCGAGAGTCCCGTCCTGCCACCAGTGTTAGTACCTAGACATTCTGAATTCGCTCCAGGACACTCCTTACTACCTTTCCAAAGGACGGCAGAACCGTCGATGCCTCACAATGTCTCGTACTCCGGGTCCGGGTTCCCTCCTTCAGCTAGCTCGGAACTCCCAGACACGCCGCCTCCAGCGTACTCCCCGCCCTCAGATGACTCCGAACCACCTGGAGAAGTCGCCCCAGTTTCCTACCAGGAGCCTCTGTACTGGGCATCCGTCGCGTATTACGAGTTGAACTGCCGCGTTGGTGAAGTTTTCCATTGTAACTCCCATTCGGTTGTGGTCGATGGGTTTACGGATCCCTCGAATAATAGTGATAGGTTTTGCCTAGGCCAACTCAGTAATGTGAACAGGAATTCGACGATCGAGAACACTAGACGTCACATAGGGAAAGGAGTACACTTGTACTACGTCGGAGGGGAAGTTTACGCAGAGTGTTTGTCGGACGCCGCCATCTTCGTCCAGAGTCGAAACTGTAATCATCACCACGGCTTCCATCCTTCCACCGTGTGTAAAATACCTCCTGGATGTTCTCTAAAGATCTTCAACAACAGGGAGTTTGCACAACTGCTGTCTCAAAGCGTCAATCATGGTTTCGAAGCTGTGTACGAGCTGACGAAGATGTGTACTATTCGTATGTCGTTCGTGAAGGGTTGGGGAGCAGAGTACCACCGTCAGGACGTGACGTCCACTCCTTGCTGGATAGAGATCCACCTGCACGGTCCACTGCAGTGGCTGGACAAGGTGCTGACACAGATGGGCTCCCCACACAACGCGATCTCGTCAGTGTCCTAGCCGCGACGCGCGCACTCGACCCCTCCCCCCACCGTACTTTGGTATCCGGTATTAAAATTCTTTAATCTCAAAAATCATTTCAACCATTGCATTTTGTATTTTATACGTGACAGAATATTTTTAATCATTTTTTTAAATGTTTTGTGTTGTAACATAGCCCCAATTGGCATTTAACAATTATGCAGCTCAAGCCATGTGTCCAATTTATTGAATCGTACCTATTTTGTAAGCGTATTATAAAGAATAAAGACATTAAGGTTTACTATACTCGTCAATATAATTTATGACAAGGTAAAAAGATATTATTGGTGTAAATAAATAATGCTTATATAAACTTTTTGGTAATGTCAAGCACAAAAGTCTAAGTTCGCCATAAATTCGTTCGATATTGATGATATTATATTTTAGTATATGATTATAAATATATTTTAAGATAAGACATATGTATGTAAGTTTTCATATACATTACGTGTAGCTTAGGTATAGTTTTAATGCAATTATTATTTTTAACTAATGTAGAAATCATTATTTTGGTTTTGTGGCCCCTTGGGTGAGAGAATAACGAGTTGTATTGGTATTATACAACATAAAACAAAATTCAAGTGATCCTTGAATTAATGGAATATGGACATTTTTAAATAGAGGCACAAAAATTGCCATTATTTGTTTATAAAAAATATGAAGTATTTTCTCACACAACTGGCCACAAAACTTCATTTGACATAGTAGTATAATGATGAATATGTGTTCTATGTATGTTTAATTGTATTTATGACTATATTAACATGTCAGGTTAGTTTTTTCGACTCGAAACTTGCATGCAGTGTACATTGTTGATAAAGAAGAGAGAGTATAAGGAATATGACCAGTGGGAGACATGGTCTGTGATGTTTTTATAATAACTGCCGTGAGACATACTGAATCAATTAAAAATGACGGTTTACACACGAAAATATACTGAGAAAAGCTTTCCTAGTTTCGCGTCACAGAGGGACTTTTCCGCATGAGCAGCGTGCGCAGTCACAAGTAAGCGCAACCTAGCCTAGTAGTTTTTCTCGTCATGTTTACGTGAGTTAACCGTCATTTTAGTAATTCAGGGTCTGTGATATATAAAGTAAAGGAAAGAAAAAAATAGGTTAACAAAATAGGTATTAGATAACGTTCGAGTCGAAAAAACAATTTGACAATAATTTTAAATCGTGCCATCGTAAAAGTCTACAGAATTAATTATGTCTTGTAAATTTTAAAAAGTGAACGTTGCAATTTCATTTTAAATCATTTATTTCGTAGTTGTTATTATTCTAAATGTTTTTGTTTTAAAAATTAAATAATCTCGGATGTATTTGGAATTATTATAAATGTCGTATAGATTCAATGCAACAGTTTTTGAAAGAAGTAGTTGTTAGGAAAGACAGTTTTACTAAAAAAATAATTAAAACCAAATCAAGGGGACATGTGCAGAGTAATGAAAAAATTGTGATTGATCTCAAATCTATTGAATAAGAAATGTTTTAGTTCCTCAAAAGAGTGACTGTTGCGTGTCCCGTATAGTAGAGATATTCATTAAACATATATATTTTCTACTGAGATATTGCTGAGACTAACGTTTCCAATTCTTGACTAATCATCGGCCAATTAAACTTACTTATATTTATGGGATAAATAAACTTTAGCCCCTGAACACACATATTTTGATTATGCATGTTCAAAGAACAAAATTTTTCGTTTTTACAACTAACTTGTAATCTATGGGAACATGCCTAATAGATGTTCTTTTCATAAATAGTCTTGAAATGTTCTTTCTGGACTTAAATCATTAAAAACAGGTCTATAAAGTACCTACCTATAAAAGGGATGAACATAGCAACAGTATTTATTTCAGATTGCGTCTTATTTAATTCAAACATCGCTATAGCAACATTGATTTCTGATTGATTGAATTGAAATCCAGTGAAAATATAAACGTATTATACAAATTATATAATTAAAAATAAAATGTGTATTGAAAAGATTTTCTAGAAGTTTCACAGTGAACAAAATATTTATAGTAGCCATATTGGCGATATTCGTCACATAAATAAAATGGTTGAACTCGTGATTAAAAAAGGAACTTTAATTAGGTTGTACTGCTAATGTTGTCGAGCATGCTACCCTTATGGGTCCCAGGCGTAACTCGAAAACAGTCGAGTTACCTTGTCGAACAGTTACGTGAGTAAGTTGTACAACATAATATGTTTCAATATATAATATAAAAGTAGCGTCAACCATATACTTATAGCGGTTTTCATATACATTTAAAAGTTGTTATTAGAAACGAATGGCCTATAGAGATGTGCCTAAATGTAGCATAAATAACCGTCCACTGAAGTAATTGATTTTTTGTATGGAATTTGTCTATGTTTTGTTTGAGATTTTGAGAAAGATAGTGTATTGTATGTATGAGTTGGTAAATCACGTTTTAGCTTTTACCCCACTTGTAAGTGAGGTTTCGGACAGTGTTTTTGACAATGAAATCTTTATATGGCCAGAGTGTAATTCGTATACACTTATAAATTAAATCGGTATGATTAGATACGATTTTAGTTTTATGATTTTTTTGCATAAATAATAATAACAGGGTAATCGTTATGAAATATTTAAAACTTGATTTGTCCCTTCTTTAATATATCGCCAATCTAGTCGATATACGTCCGAATTGAAAGTACCCTTAACCGACGAGCGTGCATGAAAAGACTGGTAACTGTTGATGAAGCGATAGAGGTATGTAAGGTCGCGGAGAACCTAACGGGGTCGCGGAGAACCTAACGGGTAACCGAGGCTCCGGCTCGACGTGCAGGAGAAGGAACGGGGTGGTTTTTAGTCAGTAAGAGTCTGACACTACCTTCCGCCTCACCCAGGCGGGAGCAGTCATTCGATGATTTTCCAAAAAAAAAGAGGTACCTATATAAGAATAGTCACTGTCTACCCCCAATGGGAGACAGGCGTGAGGTTGTGTATGTATGTATATTTAAAACTTACATTGACTTGACAAAATTCATACAAAAATCAGCAACATATACACCACTTGAAGTATACTCTTCATATATTTTCTTTTACGTATGTTATTTCATATGATATTGGCTTGTCATAAATACGCGCAACTTTATAATTATAAAGTTATTGTTAAAATAGTGCCTTTTAAAATTTGAACTTCGATAAATGCCTTATCGTTTTAATTATTACAATTGAAAAGTATTCATATTATTATATTTGGAATTATCTATGATATTGCATTTTTTTTTGTTTATTTTTTTATTATTATAATTTGACCATAATTATAATAGTGCCTATTCTTATAAATTAGTATAAATAAAATACCATTTGTATGCCTTATTTTTTCGAATTCATATTTTAATTCGTGGGGTTGTGTAAAATGTAACTATTTTATGAATATGAACATTTATAATAGTCTTCACAAGAATAATTACTGTGGAAAAAGGCAAACAAGTGAATTTTACTATATTACTTTTTGCACAACCCCCTGTATATGTCTGTTAAAACGTAGAAATCTGTAAACTTATTGCTGATATTACAATGTATATTTACTATCTACTTCAGGGCGATTGTACCGAATGATTGACTCACTTAAATCGAATCAAAAGCATCAACATAATTCAGGATTTTTACATCTTTTGACATTTTTGACGTGTCATCTTGGCTTAAGTCAAGATTATACAGGCTGCTCTCTTAACCTAAGCTGGTGTTCAAGCACTATGGCCTATAAATATTTTGAAGTCAAAAACTGTAACGTATATTTGTATGATATTTACAAAATAAATTAAATAAAGATCTTCAAAAAGGTGTTCTTGTCTATCTTTCTATCGGTACAATCGTGTCTAAAACTATAAAATACTAATAATGGTTATAATATGCGTTAAATATGGAGTGTCGTGTAAACTTGTACATAATGTGTTACAGCGTGGCAGCGTGCTCTTTGTTATGTAGTTTTCGTTTCGAGAAATTTTGGATTTGACAACCTTCTTGAAAAACTGTTTCTAACTTTTAATGTGATTCATGGGTTCTTCTTTTCTTTTCGAGCTAAGGGAACTTAAAAGTAAATAGCTAAGAGTTAATAAAAATATATAATTATTTTATTACGTCTTAATTGGATTATGAATTAATTTGTTTAGGATGATAAATTGTATTGAATTAAATCTTTTATCCATTTTCTATGCGTTTTATGAATGTTCAATTTAATATTATGATTTTTTGAAAGTTGTCAATTCCAAAATGTGTCTGTTTGTTGATTTTGTGTTGAAGTGGCTGTAAGTGTCGTGTTGTCGAGTTTATATGAAGTGAGCTTAGGGATCTGTGGCGTAACCGATTTAGAGCGCACAAGTTTTTAAAAGAATGTAAATAGTTGCAAAAATGACTTAAGGTCTATTGGCAATGAATGTGACACGATTACTGTCTTTATTATTAATGTAAAAAGGCACAAATTGCTATGTGAATGTCTAAATGTAACGCTGAACGCATATACTAGAGTTGTGTGGACAAAAATATTATTTTGTTTGTCAAAAATGGACGTTACGCCACAGTGTGCAAGGAGCTTTGTGTACAAAATTGTGAATGTATTCTTTCGCTCTATTTACTGTAAGATAGTGTAAGCGCATAGAAGCCATTGTTCATGTAATTTTTAGTATATTTTTTCTCTGTTTAGCAATTAATAAATTTCTTTTATTGATATAATTTTTGTGTTTTCATTTACGGATACCTTTGAAAAATAGACAAAACCCTCTATGAAGTAATATTAAATAACGATCATACTTACTTGACGAGTTAGTGTCAAAAGCAACACCCAAATGTAATATTGACATCGTAATCCAGCTTGCACCACATCAATGCCATTTTGTTGCAATGCGGTAGGAACTTAGAATTGTGCCACTAAATCATACATAACACTATACGTGTAACAAGTGAAATAATATGCAATTATCGGTTACTGTTTCGTATTTAGTCTGTGCGACGAATACCAATGGCCGCGGTGTCATGGCCGCTCGCGCACGCGCGTTGCAACCGTAATGTGGTGAAAATTTGGCGCGCAATCGACAAGAATTTTCTGCAGATTGTATTGTTGTTTTACTTTGATTGGCGTGTAAGGATATTTAGTGTTACACTGAGATTTTATACACGGTGTTTGTTTTGGTATTGTATTTTAAGACAATTCAGGATCTCCTAGAAACAGGGATTTCTGATATAAGTTGTACGTTGTAGTGAGGAGAATTGTTTTGCCAGTTCTTGCCTAGTCTTAATTATAATGCAAGTCCGTCCATGTGCAATTCAACTCTAGAATAGAAATAGCTAGACTACCCGATTAAATCAAATTGCGTAGGTATTGGCCTTTTTGTCTACCTACTAAGTAAGTATTGGAACGATGCCAATAAATTACGAAAGATCCGCCCTACGACATTGAGATCCAAGTTACAATTCTTGAATGCAGCTCAGCTTGGATCACCTTGAAATGATGAATATGACGGCATTTTTTCAACTGTCCGCAGCTTAAGACGTCAATGTTGACTTTCTTTACTACTACTGTTTGTACCTCATTCTTTTACGATGCAATGCAAGGTTAATATGAAAAGAGGCTAATGATTCTTGCCGGCAATGATAACGAGTTATCACCTGGTGGTGGACTGTTGATTTTGTAATGTAGAAGTTGCTACATTGCACTAGTTTTACTGTGGTAGGTACCTAATATTTAGCCATGATTTTATGGTCATAGTTGTGACTCTTTAGCTAATGTTTTGCTAGAATTATTTCGTAAGTCAAGCTTATTGCCTGATGTTAAGTTATCTTCAAACAAAAAAGTTTCGCGATTATAAAGACAAGAGTATAAACAACGCTTGTGTTTCGTCGTGTGAGTGAGGTTACAGGAGGCCCAATTACCCCCTCCGTAATCTCTCCCTAATCCCTGAATCCTCAACAATCCTCAAATTCGTAATCCCCAAAAGGCCGGAGACGCACTTATAACGCCTCTGGTGTTGCAGGTGTCGCTAGCTGGGCTAGGCTGGGCGGTGCCGTTCGCTTACCATCAAGTGATCTGTCTGCTAATTTAGCGGCTTACCTATCCCTTAAAAAAGTTTTCCTCATTATTGATAACTTACCTACTTATCACGTAGGTCGATATGCCATCACATAAGGACAGTTACAATGCGTCACCATGGCTTTGGACGCGGAAGTACTCTCACTGTCCTTGCGACAATGCGACCATAATGTAAGATTGTAAGGTATCAACTTTTTTGTTTTATTTCATGTTCCCAGAAGACAAATCTGACGTCAATTTATGCGTAGTAGGTACTCAATTGTTTTCTTTTATTTTATTTCAAAGGAACTGAAAGAAATTATAACTAAAGTGTTGGTACCTACTGAGGTTTAACTCGTCGAGTACCGGTTTTGTAGACACAATTATAGAACAATAGGTTGCGGTCACCGGTGACCGCTTGGTGTTTGACAGTTTAAAACTTAATTGGGAAACACTGATATAAAAAAATAGGTACCTATCTAGCATTAGTCATCTAGACTAGATCCGGCTTTTTTGCTCAAGGAATTTCATTAAATGTCATTGGTCTGAGTATGAGAGATAAGAGACGGTAGTTAATTGTAGACGTTATTCTATCATACTATCCTGTCGCGAAAAACCTAACGGGTTACCGGGGCTCCGGTTCGAACCACAGGAGAAGGAACGGGGCGGTTTTTAGTCAGTAAGAGTCTGACACTCCCTCCCGCCTCACACAGGCAGGAGAAGTTACTCGATGATTTTTCCTCCATAAAAAAAAACATACTGTCCTATTAAGATACTCCTTTTTTGAAGTCCTAAATTAAGTAAGTAGTTGGTATGTTTCTAGACCAAATACTACCCTGATACATTTATCTTTGTAGTTTAAACATGCGTATCTAGTTTGGCCACAACTACCGTAGTTCCTGATGTGTTTGCATAACCAATCGTCACGGGTGCTTACCTCACAAGTTATAGGAAGGATTATGATACATATCAATAATCCTATACTTGTGTAGTAGGTAAGTAGACTTCTTGTTATTTCCGATACGGAACTACTTATAAGGTATCTGTCTACACTAGTTAAAGTGTATCATCTTTGATGGCATTATTTTTAAAGAAGATTGTCTTGCTGCAAGTGCGATGGCCGAACTAGGTGCCTCGTGTTCGATTAATTTGGTTTTTTGAAGATTCGGGGGTAGAAGTGCTCTTAAATATACCGGAACCTTTCAAATTGTGATTTCGGAACCGTCTGCCAAGCATGATATGTAGAGAAGACACAAAGACTAGCAGTAGCTTGTTGGTTGGCCTGTTGATGATGATAATAAACGGTAAAAAGTCATCTAGAACAATAAATAACAATAATACATAACATAACACGCCTTTTATCCCTGAAGGGGTAGGCAGAGGTGCACATGCCACTGCAATGTAACACCTACTTTTCACTGTTTATATTATGAGTCCCATGTAATAGGAGCTCCTATTGCCTTATACCGGACACAATTCCAGACTTCGTGCTACTACTAAAACCCAGTAATACTTTGCCCGACCCGAGAATCGAACCCGAGACCCCTTGCCCGGTAGTCGCACTTGCGACCAGTCGGCCAATAATACAAATGCTTATAAATATAGTGTCGTATACAAACAAACAAGTTTGTCCATCTATAGCGTGTAGGTCAGTCAGTCTGTCCGCTTTGTAGAGTGGAACGGTTGACACAAGCTACTTGTAATAATAATTTATGTATGTTACTAATATTACATACTTAGATTCGTAATTACTAGGTATTTTAATTAATTAATTCTGTTAAGTAATCTTATAGATGTTATGTTGCAGAATACCTTATGGGTTTAGTGGTTTTTTTAAGGGAGGAAAATCTTCAAATGACATCTCCCGCCCGGGTGAGTCGAGAGGGAGTGTCAGACGCTTACTTACTAAAAACCACCCGTTCCTACTCCTGTACTTCGAGCCGGAGCCCCAGTAACCCGTTAGGTTCTCCGCGACTCCGAATCGGCATCAGCCCTGTTGGGCCCCATCCGTGGTGGTCTGATGGCTATTTGAGGCGCGCGCAGAACGCGACGCGCCGCACGTTCGGGTCTGTTTCTGGTCGTACGGGGAGCCATGCTCGCCGTCCGCAGGCGCGCGCTTACGGTGGCCGGAGATCGTCTCGCGATCCCCGACGCATTGGGTTTAGTGGTTACAAGTTAAACTTTTGAGCTAGGTCCTAAATTCAGGTCGCACTTTTAGCGGGACTATTCAGAATTTATTTGGAATAGCCCCATTCCCTATTATAACGGAGTTACCTATAATGGAGCTCATTACATGTGTATGTATGTATGTATGTGTCGTGGTGGCCCGGAGGTTTAAGACGCCCACTTCTCAGTTGGTAGGTTTCGAACCTGCATGAGGGTGCGGGTTCGAAACCTACCAACGGCAAGTACCAATGTGACTTTTTCCGAGTTATATGTACTTCTAAGATTATTTAGACACGACTGGCAAACGGTGAAGGAAAAACATCGTGAGGAAACCTGGACTTATAATTTCTAATTATAGGTAAGTTTGAAATCGCCAACCCGCATTGAGCAAGCGTGGTGATTAACGCTCTAACCTTCTCCGTGTGAGAAGAGGCTTTGCTCAGCAGTGGGCATTTATAGGCTGTTGATGATGATGATGAGCTCATTACATATCTATTTGCTTAAAAGATAAATCTATTAATGGCGTGCCAAAACACACATATTTAATCACCTACGCCACAATAAATAAAAAGCTGTCACTGGAATGCGCGGGAGATGAAATCTGTGTCCTTTAGGCGCGTACGCATACATTACAAGCACTTGCGGCGATTCTAAGACGCAAGTTGTAGTCGGAGAGCTGGTGAATGTCCGGTATTAAACATCTGAGTAGGTACTTAGTATGTTGATTGCAAAAAATACGCAAAGAAATTCACCATATTTACCTGTGTAAGATATCTTCATAATCTTATCTTCTTTTCTTTCTTACTTATTCTTACTTACTTAATTATATTTATGTGTGTTGCAGAATAGTTGGAAGTTGCAAATAGATAGTAATTCACCGCAGAACTATCTCAATGTCAGTTAATAAAGTAGGCTGTTGAAATTGTAGTTCACATTAAAGCATTATTACTGTAAATTTTTGGATTCAAGTAAGTACTTAGATAAAACAAAGATAAAACAAGTCACCGTAGGACGTGCAGTAGCGTCTAGACTGATCATTTTATGACCTATATAATTCTGTGATCCGTAAACCGCCCGCTACGCTTGAAGATGACAACCACCCCAAAGAGAACGTATTTTTTAAAGCTTCATTTGTCTTTGTCATTCATTTAACGATTATAAATTAATTTTGAAGTAGGTATTATAATAAGTTTGACATTAATTATTTTACTACCTCGGCTCCTAGCCTAATTGTGTGCGAGAGGCTGACCGGTTGTACTTGGCCTTGCAGTACCCGTCTACAGGTTTATGTGGGGGCTCCAATGGACCAGTCAGTTGTAATAAACAAATTGCTTCGTAATATAACTGTCAATGAGTTTTATTTACTTCCTAATTATTTGTTGTGAGTAATATAGAGCGTAAGATTTTCCTACAGTAGAGCATCTACGGCAGATTTTATTTTATACTTGATAGGTCGACGTTTGGCCCCCATCGCCTGGTGGTAAGCGACAATGGAGCACGCCTACCTATGAGCAACCTGTTCACTCGGGACTTGAAGAAACCCAAGCTATATTTGTCGGGAAACACAGATTCCGGCAAGGAGTTCCATTCCTTAGCTGTTCGCATAAATAATGAATTCATACGACATATCTTTAGTCTCTGAGAGAGTTGGTAGTGGTACCCTTACTAATAAATGTTTCGTTTAAATTTTATATCCAACCGGAGTCCGGTTACAAAGAGGTGCACATATAATGTAACATTAACTTTCGATGCGGAGTCGCGGAGGATATAACGGGTTACCAAGGCTCCGCCTCTAAGAGCGGGAGTAGGAACGGGGTGGTTTCTACTTAGTAAGAGTGATACTCCCTCACTTGCGTGGGATAAATCATTGGATGATTATTATAACTCCATGTAGGTAAGAGAAGATGAGCGTGTTCCCATTAACTGAATGTAATTTCAGACTGCGTGCTACTGCTGAAAATTTCTTTATAACACATAACCGAAAAGACCTACAATGTTTACTCTAGTAAATAATAAAATGATGTGATTCGTTTTTAATAGCTATGATACCTCTAGATAACCTCCTTTTTGGAAGGCGTAACATCCGTTACATACAACTGTTAAGGACTTCCTAAGCCATTAAAAATGTAATATTTTTTAATTATTATGTAACTGTGTCATAAATAAGCCCGAGTAGGTAATAATCAGTCAATAATTAATATATAAAATATACATCTATTACAACCTACTTAATAAAAAAACGGTCTACATATGTTTGTTTATTACACCGTTACTCCAAAACGGCTTAACGGATTTGGACGAAAAATGGCATAAGGATAGATTATAGTCGGAAATAGCACAACTGTATAAAGGCTACGTTTTGTTCTACATGAACAATATCGCGGGTATAAAATAACATAATTCGAACATTCCTTTTCCACATGTAAGGAAGCTTTTACGAATGATTTATAGAACCTGTACCTATTAAAATTATTTTGAGCGACATCAATCTGGTTTCTAGTTTAAAATATGTAGGTAGTTAAAGGATAAATAGCAGGATGCACCTTCATTAGATACCTATAAGATCGACTTTATATAGGTCATCATCATCTTCAGCACGTTTAAGCCCATTGCTGGAAAAGACTTTTCCAATATCAAATAATTGTGTTCGATTTCAGCAACACATCTTTACATCCAAACAGCTAACATTAGTACGTAGCTGGAGGGCACCTTATAGGGACTACGGTTGACTATGTATAGACAGACCTTTTCAAAAAGATTTGATAATTATCTTTAAAACAGTACCTACATATAAACAATAACAATACGGAGCACGCACTATGCCTACTCAAAGTCAAAATCAAAGTCAAAATCATTTATTTCAATTAGACCAGAATGGCACTTTTGAACGTCAAAATAAAAATAATATTAAAAGTGAAGCTATTTGCTCATTCCAAGGTGTAGATTCCTATGGAGAAGAACGAGCAAGAAACTCCATAGGTTACTCTTTTTCAATCAGGTTCACAATACAATTTACTAGTTACATAGTTTTGCTGTTTGGATTGTGCGAGAACAATGTAACACCAAAATTCAGTCAAAGTGATCAAGAAAGAAAATAACCTTAAGAACAATATAACTCCATCAAAATAATCAATAAGCCTGACTATTTTTGTATTGTAACTTTCGTGAGATATACTGAATAAATTATTATGTTTTCGGCTTATTCATGTAGTAATTTGACGCTCATATTCATGAGCAGTATTTTGCGACCCGCGACGCGGCGACTGTCGCGCTGCTACTGAGTAGCAGTACGTGAGTAAGCCGAAAACATAATAATTTATTAAGCCTGACGATATACGCTATGTTACGTTTCATACATATTAACTTAAAATCTAAGCAAAACTTGGCAATGCCCGAAGGTTTATTGCAGTAAACATTTAAAGGTTATTATTTAAATCGTTTCAATTCACAATCGGACACTCAAAAGTTCAACCACTCGGATACTTGATATAGATTACAAAAATATTTAATCGAACGTTGTTCTAGTTAGGTTTTGTAATGTAAAAGTTGAAATATTATGACTCTACTTAATTCAGGGCTCCTTCGAAAATGCTTCATTATCATCATCATCAAAATATCAGTCACAAGAAGTCCACTCCTGAACATAGGCCTACCTCAGTGACTACCGAATCAGCCGATTAGACGCAAGATACATCCAACATGCTTAGCATACCTACGTATTTAATCTTAGCACAACTAGGGTAAAGTGGGTGTCATATCGTTTATGTGCACCTTTCCCTATATCTTCAAGTATCTGTATTACCTAAGTTATGTTACCTATCAACTGGTTAGCTATTGGGAAGAAAACCAAAATGGCCTTCAAGGAGAAATGCGTGACTGCAGTACATAAACACGCAAGTTTTAAACAATAGCCTTTAGCTTTGACCCCATTTTGTGCATCAATGATATCTTAGTGCTTTTACAGGAAAATGTAACAAAATAAACTGTATCTGTTGTCAAGAGATACTGTAGTAAGGTCACAAATGGTAGTATTCTTCATTATTTATACGTATTAAGTCAAAATAGTCTAGGTTCTGTTGGGAGTCTCGAATATTCTAGTTTCAATTCTCAAAGAATCTTAACACTAATGAGTAGTTCAAGAAGGCTTTAAGAATTTGTGTCATGTAAATTATTTTTTGAACTAAGGAATTGTGAAGTCGGCTAACCACAGTCACCTAGCCCACAGTAGGTAAATAGTGCGACCTTGAATCCCGGAAAATATTCGTCGTTTCTGTACTATGGAATTCTATGTAAGCCCAAACTTAGCTTTGAAAGTTAATAACAATAGTCTTAAAGATAATTAAAATACTTAATGATCTTTCATTGATCCCATTACAGCAATGTCACAACACCGTAAAAGCCTAGAATGCAGCCAAACTGGTTCCTTGAAAAAACTAGATTAAATGTCCAGCATATTTCCCTCATGAATCATTTGTAAATATGTCAACATGAGCATAACTGGCCAACGGGGGTGTTACGTTACCATAGGGCTCTGCGGAGAATAACAATATCAGAGCAACCACTGTGGTAACTTAGCGACATTATAAATACAAGTGGCCGTGTACCAAACGGCAGACGTGTGTTGTGATCGCTCGCCATAACGCGCGCGTAAACGCGGGAAAATTGAAAAGCAGCCATGTTGGTTTTGAAGGTAAGTCTATGGTTACAATTTGTGGCGGGAATATTTTGACGTTTCGTTCTGGTTGGAAAATTCGATGTTACTTCTAATTAGAAAACTTTTTTATAAACGAAATTTGCGGTTTTATTATTGTGTTTTCAAGTGCCGGTCATTGATAGTTAGTTTCTTTTTTCCTAAAAGTGTTTATCATTGTTCGAATTGTCATGTAATGGTGATCTAATCAAACGTAATAAGGTGTGAACTTGAATGCCTATTCATACAGGAAAGTACTGTGATTTTTGGTGGTTTATATAAGATTAAACAACTGATATTGGATGTAATTTTTCAAGAGATTAATGATACAATGTTCCTGACGAAGATGATTGAAATCATGCGACAATTTTAAAAGATACCTTTAACTTACCACAGTTTAAAAATAAATTAAAACAGTGAACACACAACAAAGAGATTGAATTGCCCCACGAGTGAATGCAACAAAGTTTGATCTTAATCTAGGCATGGTGTTTAGATTAAACCATCTCATAGAAATTATACAGAAACCCTTTTCGTAACAATAATTAGAGCTTAAGAATTAATGAGTTTCTCACGGGGTGCTTGTAATTGTAATATCTAGTGCTTATGTTGGGCCATTAGCGTCCAATTTGCAATGTTTGCCTCCGCAATTCGCTCTATTTCTGAAACTCAGCGCTTTGTAGCATTGAGTGGCTTTTGTTGTTGATGTCTTGTCGTAATTAGCTGTCTACTTATTTCTTTTAAATGGTTCAATTTGTTATAACTATGTATTGTTTTGTTTTATTTACTGGCGCTGTTTTGTAGGATTTTTTTTTATTTAAGAATGGTTTTTAAGTGATTCTTACTTTAATATTCTTTGTTAACTGATTGAATGAAGGTTATTCTGAAGTTTAACAAGTTCCTGTTTAGGAGAGAATTTAAAGTATGAAGTGAAGATTGAAATATGTGTACCTAGGTAACGCAAATGAAATTTCACCTCGCTCATAAAATTTGGAATCAAAAGTTTGTACGTACTATATTACAATGAAATAGAAACATAAGTTATATTTGAACACAAGTGACAGGAGTTGCAGCAAATTGCACGATTTCTCAGACAGCAAAACCACCATAAAGTTGACAACTTGATGGAATATTAGAATGCGTAGCAGCTGGTTGTAGGTACTTATTTACTTATATAAAGCTTAGTGCACACTGGTGTCTAGTATCGAGTGCTCTCGAAATGATTAGACAAACTATTTTTCTGAATTTTTATTCAAACAATTAAGTTTTAGTCTTGTCGATGTTCTATCCTGACACAAAGCTCTTGAAAATACCCGAAATTGACAAAGGAGGAAATTAAAAAAAAAACATCTTTATCGTCAAACGAAATCGTCTGCAATAAAGTTAATCGATTATTCAGTATTCAATGCTTTTAAAATTATAAGGAAATATTTAGGTTATAACTCAAACTCATTTAAAAGCATTTATTTCAATTAGACAATAATTTGATACTTTTGAAACGCTAACAAATACAAAATAAATAATAGCCTGTCAGTCTGTCCGTCAGTGAAGCTCGTTCCAAAAATAAAATAAAAATAAATACATGTTATAATTATAATAATTAAAATTATTTAGAATGCAAATAATAACTTTTTTATGTGATAATATTATAAGCAGTAATTTAATTAGATTATATTTTGCTCTATAAGTTGTAGTGCCCTAACCGGGATTCACGTTGAAACTGTATCCAATTATGTAATACCAAAATTCGAATTTTAAATTTGAATTTGAAACTGGTGATTCGAATGGAAAAACTCAATTCGTTATTCTTTTAAAATTAGTTTTTTTGCAATCTCTTACTTCCAATTATGATATTAAATGGATTTGATATTATTTTGTACGCGAGGTACTTTATCTATATTACGTAATTTAAATAGTTACATGAACAGATCCTTAGCAACTCAGAAATAAACAAGTTTACGCAAATGAGTAAACAAGGCCAGAAAGTGAGTTAAAATTAAAATCTTATTGAGGCTAAAATACATGGTTTCCGCAGTTTTATGCTTTTACCAATAAGGATGCCACTGGCGATATTAGGTAACATTGGGGGCTCATTAAGTACTTTTGATTTTAACCCATATAGACCTACTGTACCACATGTGGTACAGTAAGTTTATAAAAATATTTTGGCCTACCCACAAATTAATATTTTATTCTTTTAATTGTAACAATTAGTTCAGAGTGTTAGCTTTCCATTTACAATAATACAACAGTATTTTTATGCAAATTTCGTTGAAAATTTTATCGGAGACACCCAGCTAGGACTACAGGAAATATATACAATGACTTCGAAAAGGTAAGTTCCATATTATTTATTGTAAATAATATTATTTTTCGTTACTATTTTGCAGAGTAGGTCTAAAGAAATATTATACATGTAAACAATTTTCGGTAAGGTTAGTTTAGTAAGATATATTTGGTCGTAAAGAAGGTGTACCGCATATGGTACAGTAGGTTTATGTAACATCAACATCTTCTTGTACCTACTATCTAGTATACTAATAGATAACTATATCTAAATCTGATTTTATTTTATTTTTATTTCAGACCACTGACACTGCACGAAATTGCAATAGTTCTTGAAGAAGATGATGATATGAGTAATCAGGGAAGAGATATTTTTTTACTACCAGCACTATACTGACAGTATCCCTGCCCATGAGGATCGAACTGATGAAGACTCGTGTGGAAGATAACATCGATATAAATAATTTGCCTGTTGAGACACAGAAGAAAAAAAAGGAAAGAGGCTTCTACGATTATCGCGTCTCTGATGATGTAATAATTTGTAGGTGGTACGATATTAGCATGGTTTCAGTGTGTTCCAATGCAGTTGGCATAAATCCTGTACACAAAACTGAATGCTATCCGCAGGAACAAAAAAATAAAATATCTGTACCTTATCCCGGAATGTTTTAATATGTATCACACAAAAAAATTAATAAATTCGCTAATTGGAAAATCTTGTATATTTGTATGCATATAGTCCTACTGTACCCGATATGGTACACCCCCCCTACGTCTCCCCAGTAATTGTATATTTTTTTTAATATTTTTTTATTGTTGTTTGTACCCCTCTTAATGAATATAAGTTAAAATAACTAAAATTTTTCACGAAAATAATTATCGGTCTAAATGGGTTAAATTATTGATTACATTTTTTTGCCGATTAGAGGTATAGGATAAGAGGATAGGAGGAGATAAGTAATAAAATTTAGATTTCTAGTTTTTACTGTTTAAATTGACTATCATTTTCATATAAAATTACAGCATAGCATTAAACTTATAGCATTGCGCATTGCCTAGAGAGATTTTTAGAAAAAGAAATTAAAAGGAACCCATCGCTGCTGCTTGTTTCCAGGAGATCTATGTTCAACATTGGACATTTGTATCTGACAAAACTTCAATTCATGCTTCGCCTACCATAAAATATAAGTTAACATCACGCCTTTCACCCCTGGAGAGATAGGAAGAGGTGCACATTACGGCACTTAATGCCACTGCACAATGTAACACCCACTTTCAATATACCTAATATAAAATATTGTACTCAACTCCAGCTTTCTTCCCAACTATCCACCACTTAATCAAAGGCAATTTGCCAAAACATTTACCATACAATCGATTCAAATTCCAATAATAACAGACAAGTAATCTATTTCACAAGTTACAAGGAATGTAACACAAAAGTACGTGGGCGCGGTTGTTGCAACATTACGGTCTACGATGATAGACTGCTGCGGCTATCATAGTCGTTCGGTTAAGCTAAGTATAGCCTGTGGGATAGTTTGGCTATTATATTGGTCCTGTAATTAAGATATAGTTATGAATTTGTTAATGCACACTCTGTTTTGAAATGCTGGCAATCTTCTTGTAACTGTTCTAGGCATATGACATGTATATAGATGTCTGTGCCACCCTTGACGGGGGTGTATGTTTATCATCAGGTGATCTTTCTCAAATAGAGGTTCTAAATTACATTGGTATTGTAATAAGTCCTACAACATTATTAGTGGTGCTTTTAGTCTGTGATGGTAGACTTTTGGAGCTATAGTTTGTTTTACTCCGAATTTATTAACAACATGCCATTGAAATTAAACTTGCTCGTTCTTCTCCACCCGAATCGACATTTTGGAACGAGCGCCTAGCTTCTCTGACGGACAGACTGACAGCCTATTATATATTTCATATTTGTTGACGTTTTAAAAGTACGAAATTATGGTTTAATTGAAATAAATGCTTTTGAGTTTGAGTTAAACACATTGTTGAGCGTGGTAGAATAGGTATATATATTAAAATCAGCACAATTTTTGAACTTTTAGTAAATAAGTCTAAATGATTTCCTTAGTAATTACCTAATCTTTGACTAAAATATTATGCAGAAAAACCTTGACAAATTATGATCCTGACTCACTGCTAAATGTAATTGTGAGTTAGTTTCAAGTAACTAGGGATGCAATAAATCGAAAGTATGCAAGATAATTGCCATTTTACGGAACAAAGTAATTCCAATTACAATTATAGTAATTGGCCCGGATTACAAACTTCTGACAGAAATATTTTTATCTGTTGATCACTTAAAATAACAAATAGCACAGTTTCAACTGAAGCTCCCTACTCCCCTTTAGCTTAAGGACACTTAACAACAACGTTTTAATTTTCACTAATTCATAAATGACACCCAAAAGTAAAGGGTTAGTTTAGGTGCTCCGTCACGCTAAGTAACTCTTAGTTGACTCATAGTTAAGGGGTGGTTGGTAAAAATAGCTTGGTCGATCAGTAATCTCAACAACAAACTTGTGGTGATCACAGGACTTTTGACTCTGTACCTACCAAAACAAACATAACCTCAAAATTAATATATTGCAAACCGGTCAGCTATTCAGTTAAGTATTCCATGGACCAGGTAATCAGTACGCAAGTCTTGTTCAGCAATAGATAACGACAACATCAACCTACTT